AAACCAGATCGCTTAATTGGGGAGCCTGTTGTTCACTGGCTACTAAACGACCCAGCGACCAAGTACCCGAATGGCAAACACCCGCTTGACCAGTCAAGTATTAAGAATCTGTTGGCCCTTTAACAGCGAAAATTGTTCCTTATCAGAGAGTTGTGACTAGCTCGACTTCGAAGACTGTTCTGCTCCGAGACGGGTTTCGCTCGGCCTTTTATACTCGCAGGTTCGTTGAATTTTGAAGTTCTGTGACGTCAGAATTCTAGATTTTCATATAATTTCGTTATTATATATTAATTTTACTTTTGAACGGTTCAACTATGTTTCAAATATTGCTCTTTAATTTCTGACTAACAATTTGATATTAAAATAATAGTATAACGGTGTTTTAACGAGAAATGTGTTTTCTATCCTTTTCCAATCAATTGCGCACGAGTTCTACGGGAGTCAAATTTATTCCGATTTATGATTTTCTTTATCGAAGGAAATAATTCTGTTTTCGATTATTATTAATTTGGTATTAATTGGTTTTTCCTATATATATGTATAAATTAATTTAGTTAATTCTATAAATTAATTTAGTTAATTTAATTAATTTGATATCTGATAATCGTCGTAGATAGAAGTAGGAGACAGAGAGTAGTATCTCTGTCCTTTTCTAGGATCAACGCCGGTCTCAAGGATTTCGGCCGAGTATCGCGGCGCGTAATCACATCATAGCATAACGGAAATTCTTATACAAACTATTTATTAGAAAAATAAAAGGAAATAATACATTATCTTGTTTTAACTGTTATAACTTAATATTCAAATACTTTAAAACAAATAGTACCTATCCTAAATCAAGATTGCAGGTTAATTAACATAAATGAAAATATATATATATATATATATTGATTATCGATCGTCGAGTCGAATAGGATCTATAGTCGATACGTAATCTATTGTCGGTAATTGGCGATCACTGTCGGTAATTAATTATCCTACCGGTGGGTATTGGATTGTCGTAGTGTTTAAGGAAAAATTTTCTCAAGGGATGTTACACATGTGTCAATCGTTTCGGAAAATTATTAGTGCGTACGTAAGCGGAACGAGGCGTCGCGTCGCTAATAAAGTTGCAAAATTGATCTAGCGTTGGAAGTACATGTTGATTTAAGGTTTCTTCCTGTTTTTTACGCATTTCGCTTGGTAGCGCCCTTTCCAGTACGCGAATGATAAATCCCGGATCCGGATTGACTCCCAACGACTTCAGCATACTGATATGCTGGTGAACCTCATCGATTAATTTCGCGAACCCGTTAGAGGTTGCCTTGGTCGCTGATTTCGTATCGATAATTGCGTCGTAATGCTTCGTTACAAGAACACGCCGTTTCTCGTACGAATCGATTAAAAGACGCTACGCGTTGTAATAATTGTCCGCGCTCGCGTTAAAAAGTTAAATTTTGCTAACCGTGTTGCCCTGGAGGGAGCTCTTCAAGTATAGAAATATTTTTTAACCGACAAGGTCCGTACGCTCATCGATCATAGTCACGAATGAATTCTTTTAGGAAAGCCATTTGTCGATGCTTCCCTTAAATTTCGGTAGTTCGGCTACTGGTAATTTCAAAGTGCATCGTCCGTCTACTATAGTTTTATTTAATATCGCCTTACCGAATATGTCATTAATTCGCACTGATGATGTTCCGGCGGTTGACATTGATTCGATTTTACCTGCAACGTTATAATACCGACTCTCGATTTCATCGATATCATCTAATCGTTCATTGGTTGGATCGATAATCGTGAGCTCGTCATGAAGTTTCTCGAATTCTTGCAATAATTCCATAACACAAGTTAGCTGTATTTTTAAATTCATTTGGTCGGATTGATCAGACTCGAGGCAGTTTTCAAAACGCTTTAGCCGCCTTTTAAGCAATGTGCACTTCTGATTGATAACTTGGATCCTATCCATTGCAAACGATTGCGTCAATAACTATCCGCGTGAAATTAAGTGAAACAAACTATCGGGGAATATAGTAAAGAATATTTAGCTTCACTGATAGTCGCTTTGAGCAGCAAGTGATAGGTGGGCGAGAGAATCCCCGTTTGATGATGGCGATGATTGTCCTGGGTTCCTCCGGGGGATGGTGTTTGAGAGTGCGACGTATAACCGAGCACTGTTGTGTAACTTTATCACGAAAGCACTCTGCGTATTGATACTGATCGGACTGTACAGACACGATAGTGTAACTACTTTCGTAAAAGTATTAGAGAGATGTCGAACTTGTTCTGTCGCGTGTTTCCACGTAGACAGTCGGAGCTACAAGGTCGTTTTAGGCTCCTCTTTTTTTCTCGACGGGACCTCTCCCACCAGAGAAAGTGCCCTGACTTGAAGAACATCCCCACTGTAGGTCTGTAAGGAACATTGTATGTACCGTTAAGGGTGTTTAGAATATTAAAGTTCGATCGTAATATTGGGTTATATGAGAGCCCGCGATTGGACTAATTGTAATTTTTCGGTTCCGAATATAATTCGAATAAAATAATTTTAAGAAAAAAAATACGCCGACTTCGAAATGCACTAAAAAGTATAAAATAATTTCTATTTCCTAATGAAGTTAAAATTAATTTTGCGCCGCCTCCGAATAGGTTGAAATGTATTTAATATACTATCTATGGGTAAATAGGTTTCATTCATATCTGTTACGTAATTGTATGATTGAATGAAATAGAAATTATTTTATATTATATTATATAGAAATTATTTTATATATTATTTTTTAGTGCATTTCGAAGTCGATGTATTTTTTTTCTTAAAATTATTTTATACCTCAAAGGGTTCGTTTATATCGCCTGTTGAAAAAAATTCCCTAGAGGTAACTGTCAATTTTAGAAATTTTTGAAATCTTGTAAAAATTCCTTCTCAATTACATATATTTTCTGGTAAGACTAAATGATTATACTATAGCGGTTCAATGTCAAAAATAATTTGTTGCCCTGGTATAATGTCAAAAATAATTTGTTGCCCTCAATGTCAAAAATAATTTGTTGCCCTGGTATAATTTTAGTGCCAGCGGTGTTATTATTGCATTTGGTGCATAGAGTTGATTCTGCAAATGTTATATCATGAAATGAATTTTTTAAAATTTATGTACCGTTAGCATAAAACGGTCGTATATTTATATCTACAAGGACTACAGACTTTTCCTTCAAATATTTACAGGTTGATCATTTCTGTACAATTGTATATGAACTTTCTTTTTGCAATAAATGTTTTCTAATTAAATTACTAATATTATATGCGCAATCTATATAATTTATTTCTGATTTAAATATCATTGAGTATTATGGCTCGTTCTTTATATATTTTTTTACAAATGCCAAGTGCAGATAAATTTTTTATAAATATGAACAAAGTCTTTTCCGATTTGTTGATATATGTATGTATTATACAAGCACCAATCACGATATGCTACTAAGAGTGCTTGTGCAAAAGAATAAAATGCGCACGTATTTTTCATTGATACATGTTTTGACACAGTTAACTGTGGTCCTAGTAAAATACCATTTTTTAAAATAAGTAGATTCCTATTTAATTTAGGTTTCACATGTATATCCTTAATGTCCGGACAAATAGTTAAATATTTTCCTCGTTGTTTGATTGATTCCTTTACTTTTCCTTTCCAATTTTCAATTTCATTTAAAATATTACTGTAGTCTGACTCGCACGTATTATCAGAATGAGTAAAATCTATATTTTCCTTATTATTCTTGTCTATGTTAATACGTTTCCTTTTAGTTTCTATTGTTGTATTTTTATTGAAATCATTACTAGCTGAGGGTATTGAGATATAAATTAAACTATTATCTGTCTACACAGAATTGAAAGAAAGTAATGCGCTATTTTCGCGGATTATATTATTTTCTCCAATTTCGTTTATGTTATTATTTAAGGGTATTATATCACGTTGTTGGTTTTTATTTAATTGCATGGCATTTAAAATTTTCATATGCCCTGCTATTGATGCAATATGTCGTAATATAAATTTATCTACACGAATATTTCTAGAATTTTTTAAAGTTAATTGTTTTAATTCTATAAAATATTCCTCTACATAGGATGAGGTTGGTACATCATTTGGATTTGATATCAATGATGTTCAAAGAGGAAAATGTTTACAAATCTGACGAAAAGGGAAAATATCAGGACACCAATAGGGATTTAATCTATCAGAGATAGATTAGGGATTTTTTTCGAAAGTCGGTACAAACGAACGTTTTGAAGTATAAACGAAAGCGGAGGTGTTACAAATGGGTACAAACGACTAGGAAACAGCACTCGCAAGAAGATTTGAAATATCTCAAAAAATGGCGAAGTTACCCCTTGGGGGTACTTTCGAAAGGCGGTACAAACGCACCCGTGGGGGTGCAAATGAAAGTGAAGGCGGTACAAACCTCTACAAATGTCCCTTTTATGATGGCGTTGAAAGAAATAAAAAATGTTAAAGTGGGGTGCTGCGGTATTTTCTTCACCCCTTAGACTACAAACGAAAAGAAAGGTGGTACAAACGGGTACAAACGAAGCCGAATACAATACAATTGAAAGAAATAAAATTTTTATAAGTCGGGAGTCAAGTTCAGGTAGGTCTGAACCGCCTAAGGTCCATGTAGAAGATTGCGCGAATGGGGACTGTAATGCCTCACTCGATTATTCGATGTTGGAGTTCGCAACAATTCCCTCGATGATGATATACATCGCTTCCACCTCTATGATTATTGCATGTACTTTCGCAGTAGTTTTCATAATCCCTACGGAAACATTAGCAAATAGATCAATGGATGTTTCAAAACCAGTGATTGCAACTCGTTATCGACTTTATAATTAATGTATTTGAACTGTCGGTATTGACAAGACAAACAGTAATAATAATTTCAGCAATAAGTCTGCCTCTCTTTTGCTTTTTAACATAAAACATTTTCAAGTTGTATGAAGGTTAAGATGGCCAAAACCAAAAAGAAACCGAAAAACTATTTGCGCCGAAATTACTACTCATCTGTGCTCGCTGCCAAAAAACTCTAAAAAACTCTCTAAAAAAAACTCCTTGTGCTATTCGTGAACTGTCTGTTTGACTCTGCCTGTCGAAACCGATACCGTGGATTATCGATAATTGATACCACTGATACCGTGGGTAAACCGTGGGAAAAATAAGAAATGTAGAAAGTATCGTCCATTACGGTCGACGTTTTCCTTATCGAGGATGATCTTAATCATTTGGAAGGTTGGAACATTTATTTAAATGTTCAGTAGAAAGTAGGTTAAAAGACAATTTAACGTTAATTTTTAAACATATTTTATTATGCGAAAAATTTACTACACATGCCGTCCGCTGTTTAAAATACAGGTTTCTATTCGTTTTATAAGTTTATTTTCGACATTTGCCATGATTCCGGATGGAACATTCACGTACCAGTTTTTACGTACCAATAGTATGGATTCTATTTTTTAAATCGGTTGCATTATGTATTGGTGTTTTGCAAATTTGTTGTTTGATATATCCCCATAAAAAAAGTTGCATGACGTCAAATCGGGTGATCGTGGGAGTCAAGAAATTGGTCCACCACGGCCTATTCATTTTTGTTTGAATATTGTGTATAGCCAGTCCCTAGTCTCTTTTGCGGAATGTGGAAGAGCTCCATCCTGCTGATACCACATATTTTTCCTATCCTGAAGATTCATTTCCTCCAAAATAGGAAATAAAAAATTGTTCAGAAATGAGATGTATGAATGGGCTGTAATAGAATTTTCGAAGTAGTACGGTCCGTAAATTTTTCAATTGAAAATTCCGCACCAAAAAATAACGCTTGTTTTAAATTGGTTGTTTATTTCTCTTTTCCAACGTGGATTTTTAGACGACCACATTCTTGAATTTTGGTGGCATATTTGTCCGTTTATAGAAAATATGCACTCGTCAGTAAAAAATACATTTCGAACAAAAGTTGGATCATCAGTCAACTTATCCGAAAACCATAGGGCAAATTGTAATCTTGCCTCGAAATCCCTACTAAACAATTTATGTACTTTGTTGGTTTGTACGGCCTCATATTATTCTTTTTCAAAATTTTATAAATTGTGGTTTTCGACAATCCGCAGCTCTCCGCTAATTCCCGGAGAGAACTATATGGTTTTTCTTGAATCGCTGCCACGATGCAAATTTCTGAATCCAAATTTGCTACGGATGGTGTAATGTGCCTCGCTATTCTCTTTTCGCTTATTGATCCAGTTACTTGGAAACGATCACAAATTCTTTTTATCTGAAAATATAGCAATTTTATATAAACACGAGTACAGAAAACAACTTCAGAGAAAACAATATCAGTATCTATTAGTGTTTTGATAAATGAAAAAGGAAACTTCACTTACCATCATTGGATGCGGTTTTGGGCGACTTGGGTGTCGTAGGGAGAAAATCTGGCGTATCTCTCGATATGATAAAACAGGTGTAACACCTCTCAACTGCACAAATTCTATTTTTTCTTCCACAGTAAAGCAAGACATTTTGGATACGTGTTCTTGTATTAATCAAACACTACTGTTTCAAGATCTGACGAATTCTGGTTTAAGTACTGTTTTGTACTTCTTGAAGGAATCTTTTAGAAGATATGATTGGTTTCTTTCTAAACAAAGAAACTTCTATTGGTTGAAAAAGTCTAAGCAAATAGTAAACCGAAGGGAATAAAAGCCTTACAAGGATAAAGAATATAAAATTTGTTAATAACAGAAGGATTCATAAAACGTACTAAAAACTGTATTTCGGTACACAATAATCTCGTAAAACACCAGCAAGTCTAATTAGATATTCTTGGGAAAGTTGGAATTTTTACTAGCAGCTTTCTGACCCAATATAATAAATGCATTACTTGTGTGTAGCAAAATTTTTCTATGATTCCTGCAGAGGCCGGTGGCGGTGGTAGTCCTGCCCGGGGTGGTGGCGGCGGCGGCATCTACCACCATGCTCCTTGTGGCATTGGCCACTATGGCCGTTCTGGTTCTCTCATTATTTCTTCGACTTCATCTATATGAAAGATGCATTATAAAATCTCGATATTCTCGTACATTCTACGCAACGGTTACTTTTCGTCTCCTACAAATATATGCATAACAATATTCTCACCATTGTTATCGACTGGTTTCATTTTTTTCTCGCCTTCTTTCTTTTTCTTTCGAAAAAGAGAAACAGTGTCATCAATAGTTCATGAATTTTCGTGCTGTCACACTTAGGCGTGAACACCCTGTATATGCACCTTATATTAGTCTCTGAAATGGTGGGTAGATGACGTGATTCTAAGCAAGATTTCCCTCTGCAAAAATAGGGTTTGAAGCTTCGTTTTTGGATTATTAACACTTTATCTACCGCTAGTCTATTAATCGGCTTTTTGATTTCCAACGCTTATCGACCGGTAGCCTATTTATCGGCTTTTTCATTGCCAACGCTTATCGACCGCTAGCCTATTAATAGGCTTTTCGATTGCCAATGCTTGTCGAAAAATTGAATTACTGTTACCTTGAATTTATTTTATGAATGTTAGTTTATACGGGCCAGATCTGAACTTTCTGTTCACGCACTGGGTAAAATATAAACTATTTATAGCTATTTACGAAGGTTGTAAATCTTCGTCAACCCATGGCGTTTCCACAACTTATTATGGTGGTCGAATTATATGTAGAATTATTATTGTAAAGTAGAGTTTAGAAAGTGGCTCAGAGTCCTCCACACTGGTGTGCCCAGGTCATTGAAGGATGTTGATCATCATCCCACTGGTAGTAATGATTGTTGTATGTTGATACTGATTATGGTTTGTGAAAGTAAGTATGTTTCACCAAAGGTAGTTTAAGACAGCCCGAAGTAGGTTTATTCTAACGAAGCTAATCTGAGACTAACTAGTCACTTCTAAGCAGCCAGAAAAGAAAGCAATGAAGGAAGTTCAGGACGTGAAGGCGTTACCAAAAAGGACCAATCAGGACAGATTATTTGTGAAAAATACT